ACTTCTCGCTTCCATCGCAGCCTTGACTTGTCTTGGAGTGAATCCTTCCTTGTTCTTTCGAACGGTTGCCATCTTGGAGGTCATCTCGAGTCCAGCATATCCATTCTGTTTGTTTGAAGAAAGTTCGAAATTGGCTACAAGAGTGACATGGTTGCTGAACTTGGACAATATCTTCATGCAATTGGGACGGATTCCAACAGTTCTATGGAACCCCAAAGTATCAAAGCAATTTACATTGAACCTATAAAGGGACAACGCACTGGGCACCGAGTGCTCAACCTCAATACTAAGAAGATGATTTCCCAACCCAAGGTTGTTGTACTACCCGTTACCGACCAAGTAATCCAGCGTGTTGAAGCTTGGGCTGCTGCCGAGGATGACATGGAACAAGGTTACTTAGAAGAAGCCTTTGATCAGGACTATGAACCTGAAGATTAAGATGAACGTGATTTCAACCTACGTGGACAATTCGATGATATCGATGACTCCAAAAGAGAAGAGCTCTTGGTAGATGCAGACAATGATGTCGATGATATGCCAGAACTCACTGTCAGATTCCAAGGAGATTCGGGTGATGAAGGCAATGAAGAGGAAGAACCTATTGTGGCCGATTTGGATCACCATCAAGAAAATGTCAGTAGAGGAACCGATGATATTGGGAGCCTTGTTACTGATCTGGAGGATCTACAAGAACCGCCAGAAGAAGAGATTGTATTTGAGCCTGAAACGCCTCAAGTAGCAAAAGTCACTCGATCTGGGCAAACATATGCGCAAGCTGCAATGTCTGGGCTGAACCTTTCTCAAGTTCCAAAGAGACCAAGAGAATGGCCTTCAAGCAGGAGTGGCAGTTCTGACAATAAGAACAAGAAACGAGTTGCGACAAGACGCAAGCATCAAGAGAGAGAGAGTTGAAACCGTTGAATAACAAATTAAAATCTGGTATTTGTACCAAAGAACAAAGTTGCAGTACTATAAACAGTAAAGCTATCCTTGAGGCACAGCACAATCTATGTTTCCAACAGATTGGGAATGAGATGAAAGCTGATTATGAAGAGCACGACGCTATTCTGATCGCTTGTTGCATGATGCAGATCAAGGCCATGTTTGATACTGACGAAGGTCTGAACTTCATTCAACAGTATTACATCAATCAAGGACTGAAGAAGTTTGGTGATGATGGAAAGGATGCTGTGGATGAGGAATTGAGACAAATGCTCCTGAGAGATTGTTTTACTCCTGAATTTGTTAAAGACATGACCGCGTCTGAGCGAAAGAAGGCCCGATCAACCATGATGTTACTTGCGGAGAAACAATTCGAAAAGACAATTAAAGGTCGCCTAGTATACCGAGGCAATTGAACTCGTGAATGATTATCGCAAGAGGACACTGCAAGTCCCACTGCTTCACAAGAAGCAATCCCCACTACTTGTGTTATTGATGCACACAAAGGTAGAGATATAATGACAATGGACGTGCCTAACGCTTTCATTCAAACTTATATGCCTGAAGCTAAGGAAGGAGAAGATCGTACCTACATGAAAATCACTGGCATGATGGTCCAGATATTGATTGACATGGCCCCAGAGTATCGCAAATACGTTGTATTAGAGAACAGAAAGCGAGTAATCTATGTGCGGGTACTACGTGCTATATATGGGATATAATCAGTTTCGAAGTGATTTGGAGGCAAAGGGAAGGAAAGATATGTTGGAAGATTTTCCTATCAAGTTCAACAAGGATTCAAAGCAGGAAACATCAGCTGGTAACAATTTACTGGAAGCTGGTAAAGGGAAGTTACTCAGTGCTGAGTACGATCAGATCTTCCATACTACTGTTGCAAGGGGACTTTATGTCTCTAAGAGAGCTTGTTTGGATATCCATCCAACAATTACTATTCTTGCCTCGAGAGTCCGAGAGCCTACAGAGTCTGATTGGAAGAAGTGTGTTTGCATGGTGCGATATTTGTTTTGTACATCGTTGTATCACCTGACACTTTCCACAGAATCACTACGAGTCATGAATTGGATGATCGACGCATCATTTGCGGTGCATCCAGATTTCAAGAGACATACTGGCGGCACTCTGTCCTTTGGAGGAGGTGCAGCTCAAGTGATGTCAAAGAAACAAAAGCTAAACAGCAGAAGCAGTACGGAAGCGGAACTGACTGCTGTTGACAATGTTGTCACAATGATACTATGGACAAAGTTGTTCATGGAATGACAAGGGTATCCGATCGAGAAGAAAATCTTGTATCAGGATAACAAAAGCACAATTCTTCTGGAAGAGAATGGTCGCAAGAGCGCGGGAAAAAGAAGCCGAGCTATCAATATTCGTTATTTCTTTATCACAAATCAAGTTGAGAAAGGAAATGTTAAGGTCAAATACTGTCCAACTGACGATATGATTGCGGATTTCATGACTAAACCATTGCAAGGTGAGAAGTTTCGCAAATTCAGGGATCTGATTCTTGGTCCACAGGAATAGGTCAGACAAGTATGTATATGTTCAAAATGAAAATACAAAACAAAAATAAACAGTGAAGGAGATCATGTCCCATTGCTGCCAATGGTGATTGTCACAATGGCAGGAGTGTGTTGGGATATGACCAAATATGAGTTTTTACGTTCCAAAAAGAAACTATTCAAGTATGAACTTTTTGACACGTGCAATCGGACTTTGATTGTGATGTCGGGATTCGACGCAAGTATGCCAGGCGCAAGTCTGTCGGACAATCTACATCCACACAAAAAGGGAATGACCCTATACAAGTGTGATATCGGTGTTGTGTAGAGTGCAGTAGGGAATAATACAAGATGTCCCAAAGTACTGCATTCAACACAGAATTGTTGTAGAGGTCGAATCAAGTTCTGTAAACAAGGGATTCTCCAAGGGAAATTGTTGAACTTACTTTTGTGATTGAATCATCAATTCAAGCCAAATATTAATCAAATAGGAACAATTTCACTCAAAGTATACCTAGACACAGGAGAACTATTGTCGTGAAAGTGTTGTACAATCGATTACAAATTTAGATTGCAGAGAGTTTGTTCTGAGCGCTAAAGGCACTCACAATAGAGCACATTTTGCTTTATTCTAACATTCAATCACAAAAGGCAACAAAACAAATTTACGTCAAGAACAGCACTGCCTTATCTACAAAGGAGTGAGTGATTCGTTGACAATGGGACGTTCTTCATCCGGTGGTGGAAGAGGACGTGTGACTCCTCAGAAAGTCAAGAGCAACTCGAGTTCAACAGTTGTGAAACATCTATTTTCAACGAAAGATGAAAACGATGGAAAGGCAAGATCGTCGTACGAAGATGCCGAGGAAAGAGTGATTGACTACATCCAAGCTTCTGGAATGAAATGTTCCAAAGACATGGTGAAATCAATTCGAGATGGAAAGTCGATCGACTTCAATGCGATCGCTCCAAGATTGAACGCTCCAACTCAAACTGAAGCTGTTGCAAGAGAAACAGAGATGGCCCAAAACAAGATTCTCTATTCTGCAAAGCTCGACGAGAACATGCGAAGATCAGCCTACTTCAAGACAAACAAGAGAACCGTCAAATCAAGCATCATGCTGAAGTTTGTGACGAAGGCAATGGATATCAAGCTTCGAGGTGAAGCCGATTTCACGACTACCCTTGAAGATCCGATCGAACTCTTGAAACGTATTAAACAATTCATGAAGAAGAGTGCTGATGCTGAGTATGATTTCTTGCATTTCTGGGAAGCCAATCAAAAGTTCTTTGCTATGAAGCAAGGAACAACGGAAAACTTGATGCATTTCAAGGAACGATTCTTGAGACAGGCTGAAGTCCTGCAAGATCCGACATTTTGCAGTCAAGACGAAAGTGTATGCTGCTATTGCTAGCACCGATACTGCTGCTCAAAACAAGTTCAAGGATGATATTTGAAGCCGTTCTTGCAACAGGATTTCTGTGCAACAGCGATGGAACGAGAACAGCTCCTCTGATGCTGGATCTTCAGACGAGCTATTGCAGAGAAGTGGAATATTATCCAAAGACGGTCAGCGAAGCACAAGATATGTTGAAGATTCACATGGAAGTGAGTAAAAATCCGGGAGTGAACCTCTACCAAGGAAAACACCAACCTAATCAAGGTATATGTAAAGGAAAAGGAAAGGGGAAGCCGAAGGATGGAAAGAAGGCAGCATGTTATGTGTGTGGCAACAAAGACAGTATGTCTCCAAAATGCCCAGACAGACTGCTACAAAAGACCCAATGGAAGAATCAGGATCAATATGTTGACTATGGGAAGAAGCTCAATCTTAATCAGATTGGAGCAACTGTCCCAGCTACTGTTCCAGCTATAGTTCCTGGAGCTTCACAAGTGGAGCATCAATTGTTGCGAGAAGCGTTACATCACCTTTGCAACATGGAGATCAAGAATGCTAAGTTTGTCACCTGCATTGATACCACTGTGCGTTATCGCTCATGTATTCCCGTGCAGAACCTGAAGACTGACCCTGTATTTGAAGCATTGGATAAGATATTCCGCCGCTACAACAAGGCAGGCTTTCAAGTCAAGATCATCAAGTGTGATCGGGCGTTCATTCCTCGCTCTCACGAATGATATGCTAGACAATATGGGTGTTACTATTGACCCGACTGCAGCTGGAGACCACGAGCCTACCGCTGAGCGAAACAATAGGACGCTGAAAGAAAGAGTCAGAGTAGCTCTTGCACGATTACCTGACGCTATTCTGATTGCTCGTTGCATGATGCAGATCAAGGCCAATTTTGATACTGATGAAGGTCTGAACTTCATTCAACAGTATTACATAAATCAAGGACTGAAGAAGTCTGGTGATGATGAAAAGGATGCTGTGGAGAAGGAATTGAGACAAATGCTATTGAGAGATTGTTTTACTCCCAAATTTGTTAAAGACATGACCATGTCTGAGCGAAAAAAGCCCAATCAGCAATGATGTTACTCGCGGAGAAGCAATTTGAAAAGACGATTAAAGGTCGCCTAGTATACTGAGGCTATGGAACTCGTGAATGGTTATTGCAAGAGGACACTGCAAGTCCAACTGCTTTGCAGGAAGCAATCACCACTACCTGTGTTATTGATGCACACAAAGGTAGAGATATAATGACAATGGACGTGCCTAATGCTTTCATTCAAACCTATATGCCTGAAGCTAAGGAAGGAGAAGATCGTACCTACATGAAAATCACTGGCATGATGGTCCAGATATTGATTGACATGGCCCCAGAGTATTGCGAATACGTTGTATTAGAGAACGGAAAGCGAGTAATCTATATGCGGGTACTACGTGCTGTATATGGGATGTTGCAATCAAGCCTCCTATTCTATAATCAGTTTCGAAGTGATTTGGAGGCAAAGGGATTTGTTTTCAATCCGTATGACCTGTGTGTTGCTAACAAAGTTGTTGATGAAAAACAGCAAACTATCAGGTTTCATGTTGACGATCTTATGTCAAGTCACATGGATCCGAAAGTAGACGACGAATTTGCTGAGTGGTTGAACATGAGATATGGTTCGATCCAGGCATGTAAAATTGTCAGAGGAAAGATACACAGATATCTTGGAATGACTTTGGATTTCTTGGTGAAAGGAAAACTCAAGAGCCGCATGGACGACTATGTCAAGAACATGTTGGAAGATTTTCCTATCAAGTTCAACAAGGATTCAAAGCAGGAAACACCAGCTGGTAACGAATTACCGGAGGCTGGGAAAGGAAAGTTACTCAATGCTGAGTACCGTCAAATCTTTCATACTACTGTTGCAAGGGGACTTTATGTCTCTAAGAGAGCTCGTTTGGATACCCATCCAACGATTACTATTCTTGCCTTGAGAGTTCGAGAACCTACAGAGTCTGATTGGAAGAAGTGTGTTCGCATGATGCGATATTTGTTTTGTACATTGTTGTATCACCTGACACTTTCCGCAGAATCACTACGAGTCATGAAATTGATGATCGACGCATCTTTTGCGGTGCATCCAGATTTCAAGAGCCATACTGGCGGCACTCTGTCCTTTGGAGGAGGTGCAGCTCAAGTGATGTCGAAGAAACAAAAATTAAACAGCAGAAGCAGTACGGAAGCGGAACTGATTGCTGTTGACGATGTTGTCACGATGATACTATGGACGAAGTTGTTCATGGAGTGGCAAGGGTATCCGATCGAGAAGAATATCTTGTATCAGGA